CAAAAGTCGATCAGCCATCATCATTTCATGCACCCGTGTAATCTCATCTTGAATGGTGGCTGTTGATGGCCTTCCAGGCCGCGGGTCATCGCCAAGACTTTCCCTGCCACGCTTAAATTTTACAGCCCACTTTCTTACTGTGGAAAAGGAAGAGGCACCTTCCCCATAAGTGGAGCCAGTTTTGTCCATTTCTGGTGATTTCAGTGGGTGGGTTCATAAGATGGTCTGGTATGAAAAGAATTATAACACCGCAGTTGCATTCATTCAATGATTGTACTTGATGGTGGCAAAAGTTTGTTTCAACACAACTGATCAATCCTTTTCAGACTTAGAACTTTTCAGCCAGCGTTTATTACTGGGCAAAACGATCGAAGTCAACGGTGCAGAAATGGAATAACTATTCAATAATTGAATCCTTTTTCAAATAATATTAGAGATTTTTATGATCAGAAGTAGTTTATTCATAATTCTTGACAGATAAAATGTCAATATTCACCTACAATTACCACGAAAATGTGTTCTTAATTCTTAAGTCTTTACCTTGTCACTTTCTTACAGCGACCTTGTGTCTAGTTTGTACTTTTTCACCTCCTTGTCTGACTTACGTCATTTTAGCACTGTGAGCCGGAGTTTCAACTTTAAATTTTGGGACTAGGGCTTTTTAGGTGCATTATATTATACCAAAACAATCTAAGTTTTACTTAAGCTGTATTGGCATGGAAACCTTCATAATTTACGGTTTTGCACCAAAAAATAAACATTCTAATTAATGTAAATTCTATTGAAAAACAATTGGAAAATTTTTCACTTAGTAATGTAGGTATTCTGTGGTTTTAACTATAGTTCTGCTGTAAATGAAACTATACCATGTGCCCAAACAATTTCTAATTACTGCCTTTTATTTCAAAACATTGTGTCGTTAATATATAGCAACATGCTGGAACAATGGCCATTGTATTATGAATAAAGTCTAGTAAATTATAAAAGTCAAGAGCTACCAATTACTAAATGTTAATTTATCAAGATATTTATACTAAAGGAGTCATTATAATACCCGTGATTAGTTGACAACTGACATAACTTTGCCTAGGATAATTTGTCACGGTTAAACCCGTCATCACCAGTTATTCAATATTAGTGTATGTTCGCCATAGTCTGGACAAATTTCATTTAATAGTTACTTTCTTGTGGGTTACACAGATTGGATCTAATGGCACGGCAAACCAAGTCGATCAAATATATCACAAAAGTCCAAAATATAATTAAAGACTGTTGTTGTTAAGCTATAAAGCACGTTTGATTATATAAAAAAAATCAAGACGAATATAAGACCAGCGGTTCCCAGGCAATATACGCCCACATTTTACATGCGATGAATAGAGAACAAGCTGAATAAGGGACCATAATCCAGGAGATTACGTTCCGATATGCACGAACATCGACAGGAACCGAGATCGTTTGGATATAAACATATATTTTAAGTATCATCAAGATTGGATTAAAAATAGTGACTTCTAGAAATTCCACAACCTTGGTATTACATACTCTTACAAAATTCGAATTCAACCATCATTAGAGTTTCACGTTGATATATTTGTTTAAATCGGATAACAATTGTGACCCCTAGAGGGGCCATAATCCAGGAATATGCTCGAATATCGAAAAATGATGCAAGATCTTTGCGTTATAAACATGCATTTCAAGTTTCATCAAAATCGGATAAAAATTGTGACATGGAGGGTCCACAGCCATGGTATTACATATAATACTTTTACACGTACAAGGAGCGGCCATTTTGTCCTGCAGTTTCGATAGGATTTTTACGAAAATCAAACTCAACCTTCATTGGAGAGAGAGAGAGAGAAATGGGGTTTTACGTCCACTCGACACAAACTAGGTCATTTCGGGACTAACATATGGTTTAATTATATTTCAATAATTCGCTTGCGCGTAGGGGTCTTTAGCAGTGGGAGGAAACCGGAGGACCCGGAGGAAACCCACGAGGTTGGACAGGCGAACCTACTCCTTGTCACGTACAACCGGGGATTCGAACAACCTTCATTGGGATGGAACGGTGATATACTTAAACTATTTTTAAAATTGAATACAAATTGTGAAAGGAAGCGAGATCTTTGTGATATAAACATAAATTTAAAGTTTTGTTAAAATCGAATCAAAATTGTGACCTTTAGGGGGTCCAAAACCTAGATATACCATACTTTTACACTATTTACGTACGATGAGCGGCCATTTTGTCCGGCAGTTTCGACCCGATTTTAACGAAATTTGAACCCAATCATCATTATGTTGTAACGGTGATATATGCGAACGTATTTTTTTAATTGGATAAAAATTGTGTCCTCTAGAGGGACCACAAGCTAAAAACGCGATTTTTCGAACAATCAGCGGCCATAATCCAGGAAGTTACGATCCGATGTCTAAAGGAACCAAGATCTTTGGGACTGTTGATTGAAGATAGCCGCGGTGGCTCAGTGGGTAAGACCATCGCTGGCTATTCCGAAGGTCTCGGGTTCGCTCCCTGTGTTGTCCGAGCGGTTCCTCGGGGATTTCTGGGCGTGATTTCCCCTTATCAAGTCGTTCGGATGGTACGAAAGAGCGAGGTCTCGTGTACACACTGTCGTGCAGAAAAAAGAAATCCTGGCCGTTGCAATCTGATTAAAACACATATCTATCCTATATCGTTTTTTATAGTTCAAACTTTCGTTTTATTTGTCTTCTCAACACCAGGATCTGGAAGAGTTGGTATATAACAGGCGTTCTTGTTGATGTGAGGAATTAGCCAATGAAACGGTCTGTTACGGCGAGTTCTTGGCGGTCAGCGCTGATTGATTAATCAATGTCTGGCGGCACAGGGTCAAAAGCCGCTCGTATGACCCCTGACGCCACCTCCCAGTACAACTGGTCAGATCTTCATGAAGTGTGGGCCATCGAAAGTATAAAAAATCGAAACGAAATATAGATCTGTATTTTAATCAGATTGTGGCCGTTGTATTTCGATATAAGAGTAGGTCGTTGCGCCGCTGTAGGTCGTATTTATGAACCCAGTCGGGGCAGAAAAGTAGGAAGTTAAAACCCAAATCCATTTCTGTCGATTGAAGGTTTAAAAATCGAGACTTCGTTGAATACAGTGGCAATAGTACTTGACAATTGAGACTATTAAGACGATTTCTTGTAAAAACTTCAAACATTCATAACTTCGTTTATTGTACATACATAACGATTCAAAGCTGTAAAGGACCCAAACTCGTTTTGCATATAATATCATCAATCTGATTAAATCACAGATCCTATTTGTTTCGTTTTAATAGTTCAAAATTTCGTTTTACTTGTCTTTACTACACTGGGATCTGGAAGAGTTGTTATCATTGGCGTGTTCTGAATAGTCACTCTGCAAACCTCGGCAGATTCCGGTACCCTACATCTAACCTCGGCTGTATGATAGTAATTGATATGTACCTACGCCCATACATTTGCGATGCGGGTACCGGTTTACTTTAACAGGAAAACGTGCCGCTTTTACAAAAAAGTCCCAAAATGGCGTCTTTTGTCGAGTATATATAACTAAACGAGCAGAGATATTGTCTCAAGGCTGCTGGTTTGATATAATTCCCTGGTAATTCCCCAAACCCAATGCCAAACTTGACGTTTATTGATATAATACACTCTCCACAGAAATCTCCATGGGCGCAGCCATTTTTCATCCGGGACCTTTAAAATAGTTCCAATATAGTTCGTCATACAGCCGAGATTAGATGTGTAGAATCTGTCGAGGTTTGCCGAGTGCTGAATAGTGTTAGGTATTAGCCAATGAAACGGTCTGTTACGGCGAGCTTTAGGCGTGTTTTGCACGGAACTGTGGGTAATCCACTAGTAACATCAATGCTGATTGGTTAATCAAATGTCTGACGTCATACGGTCAAAAGCGGCTCGTATGACCTCTGGCGTGACCTATTGCAACAACCGGTCAGATCTACATGTAGTAGAGGCCATCGAAAATATAAAAAACGAAACGAAATATAGATCTGTATTTTAATCAGATTGTAATATCATATATTTGCTCAAACATGTTTCAAAATCCCGACCATAGTAATTATATCGCTAGATTTCGCTCGCATTACGGTTTAAAAGATGTTTTATCACACCGCATCAACCCTTACGCCCTCTATGCAATTATAGCAATTGCGAAACCCTAAAATTCTTTACTAGGGATACTACCCCTGTTCATAGATTTTGCAGAGTAGCTTGAACCTGAAATGAACGTACTACTCCGACATAGCTAATGAAGACGAGCATACGCCATGCTGTGTGCTAAGAGGTAAATTTTATCCGGACAGAGTCACTACGGCCTACTCTTATATCGAATTTCAACTGCCAAGGAATCTTTAACGTGCACGCCAATGTGTACACGGCACCTCGGTTTTTCGTCCCCATCCGAACGACTCTACGTTGTCCTTTGTCATGCCCCCGGTCCTGCACCACTGACAGGAACGAACCACGCCGGAAAATCCCGATGAACTTTCTCGGCCAGCGCAGGAATCGAACACGGGAAATCCAGTTTAGCGAGGAGGGTTGGATGGTCGTATGGTTAGCACGTGCGTGCTGTATCATAAGGACAGTCATTGAGTCAACTGGCGTGGTTTCGAATCACCGGTTGTACGTGACAAGGAGTAGGGTCGCCTGTCCAACCTCGTGGGTTTTCTCCGGGTCATCCGGTTTCCTCCCACTGCTAAAAGACCCCTACGCGCAAGTGAATTATAAAAATAAAATTCAACCATGTGTTAGTCGCGAAATGACCTAGTTTGTGTCGAGTGGACGTTAAACCCCATTTCTCTTTCTCTCTCTATCTCTCCAGATTAGCGAGCCAGGGTCTTAGCGACTGAGCCACCGTGGCCCCCTCGCTTGAACCTTATATCACAGTAAATAAACCAAAAATAAAAAATGAGATAATCAAACAGTAAGTTTATTCTATTTTACTTGTATATTTATGTACAAAAGTTCCAAGATATAAATTATACATAATATTGCACACACCTTTATTCAACATGATATGAAAACAATGGTATTTACAAATATGAAATAAAACAATATTATAAACAATATTTTACACTAATTACACCGTTAACACCTTTTTTGTTACATAATTGTTTCTTCAAAATCATTAATTAAGTTTTGTTAAATATGTAAATCCTAAATCTGAATTTGTAGAGATTGTACTGCACATTACATGTATTTCAAAAGATTTGGAAAATAGTTTTTAAGAAATGTTGGTTTTCAAAGATCCTACTTAGTAATTTTTACATAGTAGTTTTCAGTAAACAAAATTATTTGCAGAAATATCCTCGACAACCACAATAAGTTGGTAGAGTTTGTTCCATAAAGTAGAAACCTCCAACACCATGACCCTTGAACTGCATACCATGTGTATACTGAATGAAAGCCTCGGTGTTATCTTCACAATAAGCTAAGAAAGTCCTCTTTACAAAGCCCCGCTTAACACAGAAATATCCTTCAACGTGACCATATGCCAAACTACAGGGACCACTGAAGTGTCAAAAGAAATTTTTTTTTTTTTTTTATTATTAATAGAACTATGTTTTGTTTCATAACCATTAATCTATGAAACGATTGGTTCTAGGAACCCACGAAATCAACCTAGCCAGCTTCGGATCTCCTTGTTCTTGGAATATATAGTGCACCGTTTACAATACTTCTCCTGGATACGAACGCATCAGTACGTTCTTTCTACAAGGTTTACATGCTCGCTCTAACAATTGTTATTAAAATTAGATTACAAATTCATTTCGTTTATTGTCCCGATGTCGTACCGCATCAAAAAATAAAAAGAAACGTAACTAAAACACTAAAAACATAACCTGATGTAATGTTACATGTTAAGTTCATTCTAACAAAAGCTTACCTGCAATCCGCATAGTAGATTTTTTGTTCTTCGGGATTAACAATATGACATCTTTGACCACTCAAATTCACAGACGTAATGATTTTTCTATTACTCTTACATACGCAGTCAAGTGAGTACGAACCTGCGACCTCTCTGAAAAAAATAATAAAGATACTCTCATAAATATATAAAATTATATAAATTAGGGGAAAAGGTCTGATTGTTGTAATTGTTATAATTCCTATTTTGGAGGAGTTTCAAGGCGTACTTGATTTCAGCTCTGTAAAAACAAAAACAAAATTATATAAATCAAGTTTGCATTAAGAGTTTTAAAGCTGTAAAACTATTTTTAAATTTTGTTAATAAGAGTAGCGGAATATAAAGGCATGAACGTATTTTGAAAACAAAATTAAAATGCGCAGGTATTTACCTAGGTGTTAACCGGTTTAAAAGTTAAACTGACTGGGGGTTAATAATAGTATCTAAATCAACAAAGCAAATTACTTACTTGTGATCCATTAAGTAATTATTTTCCGAAATAAACATACCAGCCATCCTCATATAATTGTAATATGTTCTATTTTGAGACATTTTCAAGGCGTAATTGATTTCCTTTCTGTAAAATAATTGAATAATTAGTTAAAAACAAAAACAAAATTCGTTTCAAATAAAGAGTATTCCCTATTCCTATTTTCCACTAACTCAGTGTTCCTATTTCGAAAAACATGAATGTTATAAAACTGTTGGTAATTCATTAATTTACTTCGAACAAAGTTCGGTGATTTGTTCGAACCACAAAGACTATTTTTATCTGAAAGTATTAACAACCATGACCAGTGTAATATTGAACGCGTAATTATATCATTCGATTGAAACCAGAATTCATATCGATTGATGCCAGTGGATCCACAATTATATCAATAGATTTGCGGATTAAATAATCTACAGTCGATTTACAGTATATGTATACCTACTCCCTAACCAGTTTGACGAGGAGATGGGTCGCCTGTCCAACCTCATAGTTTTACGCCGGGTTCTCCGGTTTTCACCCGCAGCTAAAGACCCCTACGCGTAGGCGAATTATTAAAATAAAATTGTACTGTATGTTCGTCCCGAAATGACCATTGTTGTGAGTGGACGTTAAACACGATTGAGAACTTGAATTCAATTTGTGTCGCAAAAGAATCATGCCAAGATTATGGTTTACATTACTCCCGAATCAATATAAATATAATAACTTACGCTGGGTAGTTGAGTTTATCAGTACATATGAAAGAATCATCAAAATATTGATCTTCACGGACTTGTTGGTCATAACAGAAGTTTGGTCTGGTTATTGGTCCTAAAGGTTTCCATGGGATCCCGGATACTAGATTTCCAGAAATGCCTTTATCTCCACGTGGTGACACACGAGCATAGATACCACAGACAAGGCTGGTCAATATAGCTAGGTTGTAGATATTCTAAAATTTAAAAAAAAAAAATGAGACATTGTACATTTAGTCAGGTAAACTTCTACATGCATAAACACAAGAAAAGAAATATGAGGTGGGGGGGACGGGGGGGAGGGGATGGGGTGAGTGGGGGTTGCAAATGGCTAAGCATTGAATACAATAGAGGTGTAGAAATCGCTTATTTGATGCCGCCTTTGGAAGAAACATAACTTTAACGTCACTCCGGAATAAATGAAATGAAATGGAGTTCAACTCCCCGCTATTCTGCTCCATCCGGGCTAATTAAGACGCGGGCATACGCCATGCAGTGTACTATGAGGGAAATTTTATCCAGACAGAGGCGATACGACCCTATTTCAAATTCAAACTGTCAAGGGTTCTTTAATGTGCACGCCATGGTGTCCACTTGGCTTCGTTCTGTACCACTAGAACGACCAGACCCTGTTCCTTGCGTACTGCACCACTGACAAGGGGAAACCACGTCGGAAAACCCCAATACTGGGATTGAACCCGGAACCCCTAGATTAGCGAGCGAGAGCCTTACTCACTGGGGCTCCCTGTAAGACACAAAAAGAACTAAGACGATGTAATTTCACCGAAATGTCTCTTTTTGAAAGAGCGAACACAAAAAAAACAAAAAAAACCAAAAAAACATAACATTTGAGTGTTTAAAATCCTTAAGCTCTTAAAATAATTTGACTGTACAAACTTACCATATTATAACTTTGACTTCTACTACAATTAAATAAAGATACAACGAAGAAGACTGACTTGTTTCGGGTCCCAGGCGCTTTTATATTCTTGTCGCCGTCAATCAACTTGTTTAATTGACGTCAGAAATACTATCTCTCTCAAGGGGTGGAGCTTGATCTGGTAGATTACTGTCCATCAAAAGTTGAAGACTTTTTCACCAGTTTTTGGCAGTTCCTTTTACGTCACGAAGAAGAATAATTTGCGGTGACACAACCACGACGTCAGCTTGTCCTTCAGAGGTCGTTCTTGCAATTAATCAAAGCATTGAGTTAATGGTTTAACTATTTTAATATAGATAAATATATTGATAAATATTGTATTGAGGGTGGTGTTGTGTTTATTATGGGAATGGTGTGTTGATGATATACTTACTACAGTAACAAGGAAATCGTCAGACGAACCTCTTTTATGAGATACTATACAAATTGTTAGCCACTTTTTATGTTTGCGCCGTCCTCATTACCGGTTTGGTGTTGCAAAGTAGGGGTTAAACCCAATTTCATTTTGATAGCTGCGATTTTTCTAATAATCAGCAAGCAAACACCAAATAATAAATTGAATTTCGATTCTTTACTGTATGTCGCAGATGTACAAGAAGTCTATGTACATTTACTGCTATCGATGTATCACTGATATAAAATAATCCTGAATACCGATGAACAGTTCCAAATAAAACTGTGAACTTACTATGGAAGCGAGATTCCGTATATCTGCTGTGAGCGAGTTCAAATAAAACTCAATATCATAAATATCATCCACTGTCTTCGACATTGCAAACAAGTCTGATTGGTTAATTTAAATAAACATTGATGTTGTTATCTTCTGATATCCAATATTTAATGGAGCCAAGTCTCTAACTCAATATTTTCCATAATATTCGAAATTAAAAACACGAATTAGAATCCAATACTGATCAATTTCAATCAATATTGATGTTGTTATATTGCCGTGAAACTATGGGATCCTAACATCCAATAGTTAAGACACAACATTTTAGAATCAGTACACGAGTCGTGTACCCTATCGTTTCGGGTGCCATTTTGTAATGAACAAATAAAAGCATGTCCTACAGCACAATGTGGAAGTAATTAGTAAAGGCTTATTCAAAAACGACACAATAATAATTTTAAAAACGTGTAGAATGCACGTATATCGCCGAACATAACTGATTAGAAATTACCGTAAAAACAGAAACGATTGAATGTAATAAGTTTAAATACATTTTATATTACTTTGTTATATGCGTTGCGACGCATTTGTGTCCATTTAGGTGCCAATGAATAGCAATTTAATTTCTTATCATGGTAAATATTTCCTAGATATGCAGAATCCTTTCTACGACGGTGATGACGACAAAATACTATATATATATTTTGACAAAGTGTATAACACAGAAGCAAAACTGTTTCTAGGGGAAAGCTGGCGTATGGCAACAATTCAAAGTATCTTCCAATGAAATGGGTGTAACCTAATGCAATGAAAGAACTTTCAGGGATTTGTATACAAATATACAAAAAATACTATTAGCTATGTGAACTGCTAATATAAGTGTTATCAGATGTTCTAAAAATCAACTATACGGTTACCCCGTTTAATGACTGAATCCGTGTGCCGAGTCAAATTTACCCATGGTCAGCGGTGCAGGCAAGGCACGGGGTCTAGTGGTTCGGGTGGGAAGAAAAACATCGGGATGTACATAAAAGAACCCGTGACAGTTGGAACTCTAAAAAAAGGAGACGGTGACGCCGCAGTCCGGTCAAAATTTGAAGATTTTATGTGTCAATCTATTACAACGGTATTTAAGTTCCTCTGGAGGAATATGTGACTTTTGAAACGCGGCATTTATATTTACGTTTACGTTCCAGTCCGTGATAAATGGTCCAGATTGAAACGGTTATCCGAACAGAATGCTTTATCAGCGTTCCGTTCTGGGAATCATTCCTGGCATGTTTAAAAGTAATAATATAATTGAGTTTGTGTCCGATGTAAAATGAGAGTGAAAATGTTACAACACCAATGAAATATCCTAAAGTACGGAAACATGTACATAAAAATATTTGTACATAACCGATCCATCAGTAATCCTTAGTCACCAATCATGCACAAAGACAAGAAAAGAACACAGTCATCAATCAATCATAATAAAATGACATAAAATGAAATGGGGCTTAACGTCCTACTAATTATAATAAAGAATAAAAATAAAAACGGGTATGAAAAAAAAAAATATAGTGATAAATTTTATCATCATTTAATCCAATCGATCACAATTAAGCAATGTCAGGAAATGTTTTGTTTTGGTATATTTTTTTTTTTTTTTTTTGGGAAACAAAACATATATTTTAATATGCATTCTTACAAATACATGGCCCAGTAAGTCAAGTGCAAATTGTGATTAATTGATTTTAATGCGTCTCTGATAAATGGTCGTTTTTAAGATTGAGAAAGAGAGAGACCGAGACCGAAGTGTGTGTGTGTGGGGGGGGGGGGGGCGGCATTTCGGGAATAACATATTGTACAAATCTTATATTAATCTTATAATTTAGCAGGGGGTCACGGTGGCTAAATGGGTAAGACGCTGGTTCGCTAGCCTGGAGGTCGGGTGTTCGATCCCTGCATTGGCCGAGAAAGTTGACCCCCTGAACAGGACAGCTGTCTAGTCGTTCGGATGGGACGAAAAACCGAGGTCCCGTGTACACATTGGCATGCACGTAAAATATCCCTTGCCATTTGGAATTCGATATAATAGTAGGCTGTAGTGCCGCTGTCTGGGCAAAATTTCCCACATAGCACACTGTATGGCGTATGCGAGCAGAGCCTCGTTTAACATAGTGACTAGGCGGCGCCGCCGCCGCGCACTGGCCAAACTGGCCTACTGAGCCCAAAAGTTGAAAACTGGGCGGCAACATACATACGTTTAGAAAATCGCTGACAAGGTTTTTCCCATGTGCCAATACTATATCATGGTGCGTAGGTTTACAAAATCGTCTTTCTGATTGTTTTATGGGTATATTTCTGTCTGCGGGTCAGCCGCAGCATTGTTTTGATCTCGATGTTACAGGGTATTAATCAATCCATGGTTTAACAAGATGCCAAAACTAATAGTGTATCAAATCTCCGAAACTATTTTTAAGTGCGCAGAAATCGAGTCTAAGGGAGTCAATTTTCAAAATTTTCTGGGGGACGCCCCCCCCCCCGACCCCTTGCGCAGGCTCTTACCTGCGGTGTTCGCGCGGCTCGCACCTACGGTGCGCGCGGGTCGGGCTTCGCCCGACATTGCCGCGCATGACCAAATTCCAGTGGACCTACAGATAAACGAGTTCCCTTGAAAAGATTTTTTGAAGGTGATTGAAACAATTTCAACACTCTATGCTAGGAATATATTTGTAATATAGTCTACATTACTAATAATATTCGAATACCCCTCGATGATGTTGTGTCATTGATTTCATTATAAAAGACCTTGTTTCTTAATCAAATAGCTGTGGTTTTTATTTCCTTTTTTTTATTTAATGTATATCTCTGAAAATCATATACATATCACTTTTCTTTCCCTTTCTTGTTATTCCAATTATATTTTGGATTTGGAGTTTTAGGCGTTATGTAGCATAGTTATTCTCATTCGCTGAGGCTATTTGGGGGCTATTTGCCACACTTGGTACATCTGCAGGCCGCAATTAGCAGCCAGTACCGCTGACTGGAAGTGGTCGAAATTTTGCATACTATGAGATATTATTAGGGTTTCACACTGCGTAGCCATTTTGACACAGCCAGAGACAAGGCACATAGCTAAGGTTCTTTGGGTTTTTTTTATTTTCGACGAATCTTCGGAGATATTAGGCGCCAAATTTTGAAAATTTAAATTTTTACGAAAAACCTTTTTATTAATGAATATTTTTATGTGGTATTTTACCAAGGGTTAAAGGGTCACCGTATTTTTCCTTGGCCCCCATTGGCTAATTCAGTTTTTCAGTCCTGGATTAATTATTTATTGTTCGATTTGTATAAAACAAAGTTCATATGTTCCGCGGTCCAAAATGTCATTTTTTTTTTGTTACCGGTACATTTTCCTTTCGGCAACGGAAGTAACATAAATTTAGCAAAAACTGCAATTTTGAGAGTTCGGTACCACTTTTTGAAAGCAAATATTATTTTTTTCAAATCTGGTATGACTGAAAGGGTTTGCCCTGTTAATGCGCAGAAATCATCGCGCTCAGTTTTTTTAATTTTTATTTCGTTTTCGGATCATTTCGATTTAAAGGTGAAAAAAGGTGAAAAAATGAGCTATTCACAACCCATTCAGGCTTTTCATATTTTAAAATATTTCTTCGCAACTTTCATACGAAGAGAATGTATGTGAAAAAGAATTTGTAATATGAACAGTTGCCGAGAAATGGGCAATTTTGTATGAGTCACTTTTTTATGCTAGTTTGCCTGTATAAGAGTCAATTATTATTCGATTTTCATAAAAGTGACACCATTTGATGCGTAATGTCAATTTTAACAAGGTCAAACCAAATTAACATTTTCAATGTCACCGGAAATGACGTAATTTGGGCAAAAACTGGATTTAGAGCCTTCAAACCAGTAATTTATTCAAACGAGTCGTATTTGTTATTTGTTTAAAATTTCGATATTTGATTCAAATCAACTAACAGAATGAACCCATACGATCATATAGATATCACAAAATGGTTTCTAACGTGTTCAGTTGTGGAGAAATAGACGATTTTCAACACGTAACTTTTCAAGGTTTTTGGTCCATAAAAGCGTCAATTATTATTCGATTTTCATCAAATTTCCAGTGTGTGATACCTAATGCCATTTACGATTTTATACAAGTAATTTAACACTTTTTCTGTCACCGGAAGTAAGGTCATTTTGGCAAAAACTGTATTTTTAGCCTTCAAAGCAGATATTTTATTCAAATGAGTCTGATTTGTATTGTTTTTAAAATTATGATATTTGATTCCAATCAACAAATAGATTAAACCCACACGATCATACAGATACCAAAAAATGGT